AGAACCCCTTCCCCTTCCTAAACAAGAAACAAGGCGTAAGCCTCTACTCATGTCCAAGAGAAGGGAGAGGAGTGTTGACCCGGCGGTAGGAAAACCTACCTACTCCTTTTACATATAACACATACAAGAACGACAAAAAACAGAGGTAACGATGAGAGAGGGAGGTACTTTCAAAGAGTCCTGGCTGACACTTGGATTTTACCCTTTCACAACATTAAGTTTTAACTTAAATCCCATTGTCTATTCTAAAAAGAAATTGAAGAAAATAAGGTTATCCGGATTTATTGATATGTCATAATAAATGCCCCAACATACGTGGCAGCGAGTGTTTGTCCGCTTTCTTCCTCATGATAACAAGTGAATGTACGGCTTACCTTAAGTCCAAGCATCGACCTGGTGGGGGGGGGGATCAACGGCCAATCCTCCGCCCTCACCAAATAGTGGGCTTGGGAGACATGCTTTCAATAAAATTAAGAACAACAGGAGAAAGAAACGGCGAAAACAATTCCAAGTTCAGACAATTTATCAAGCAAGAAGATTCGGCCAACTAGATCATGAGAATACTGACGAGACACTTTCGCATCTAGCCAAAGACATTCAATTTTCCCTTTTTTTCTGATTTTTCTTTCGAACCGGGATTTCTAACTAAACCATCAAATAGGTTAGAATGATTAGGACAAAATGTGTTACTATGGTTGACACACTGAAAAATAAAATTAAAAAAAAAAAAATAAAATAAAATTTAAAGATTAAAAAAAAAGAATTAAAAAAAAAAAAAAAAGAAATGAGTTTTTTTAGAGCGAAATTATACTCACATGAACATTCTTGGCCTTCAAATAAATCACCTTCTGATACATCTTATCAGCATAGATTCCATATAATATCCATCTCTACACATACACAGGGAAAGCTCCATTGTGTGTGTGTCTTAAAAATTTAACAGTGGAATGCTGTAAACAAAATGAAAATGAAGAACAGTAGTGATAAATTTAACTTTTATAGATGTGTGCATTTATTTAACTGCAACAGAAAAGAAATGATTTGCTTTCCAACTTTCATGAGGTTGCAACATAAAACACTTAGTATATAAAATAATCTCAAACAATAGTTTGTAGTTCTTAAGTACTGAATTTATTATGTCAAAGAATAAGTGTTTAAGCATTAGACAGAAATTAAATATGGAACATTATTCATGAGCAGCCAATAACTTTGTAGAGAGTTTAGTGATAAGAAAAATCTTATGATCAAAGCATAATGGACTTCTAAATTTCCACAAAAGTCTTACAATCTACAGAAGTGCAAATATGAGAGGATCAACTGCTCAAAGAATAACAGTAAAGATATAACTCCAAATGAAGAAATGCAAAGTTGGAGCTACAAGAAAAAAAACAGCAATGTGCAAAAATGTAAAATACTAGGTATCCCAGCACTCAGCTTACAGCCAATGAAATTCTTAACTAAACACTAAAAAAAAAAATCAACTCGCCGTGTTATTTCATTCAATATCTCCATAAAAAACAATGCATACCAAAAGCTTATTTCATGAACTTTGTTTCTATCTTATTTATTTTTATATGTAACTACAGTGTGCGAGGAACATTACAGTTTGAAAATAGAGACATTTTGGTGATTTCGCAAAATATTGGTCATTTTGTAATATGCGCACTCCGCAGGGTTATTACAATTGAATTTTGGTAACATGTTTAGTTTGAAAATTAACATTCTAAGTTTCATTTTCATATATTTTTTAATTTTAATAAGAAGTTTGAAAACAATTCAAATGAAAAGTTTCATCGTAAAATTCAAATGCTTCCTGTAAAAATAAAAACACATAAAATATATCGTTAAAATGCTCATTTAATAATCTAAAACTAAAAATCAAAATCAAATATGAAACGATATCTCCATTTTGCGCGTGTGTGATTATGTGTAATCATGTGCGACTCGCTCGGCCATCATTTTAACTCTACGCGACAGTCAATACACAGCGTCAACACGGACACCCAAGAATCGACCAGCATTTTCTATGGACGAAATTTTCAAGGAAATTGGTAACAATTTGTTTTAAATATTAATTTTCTATGTTGGGATTTAAAAACCGTTTTCGTTATAAAAAAAACATGAAACAAAAAATCGATTTGTTTACTTTACGCTTGTTGGGACTTTTGGGTCATTTGATTTATCAGAAGGATTTTTGTTATTATCGGTTGCGTGTCTAACCGTGTCCCAAACAAATATACAAACAAGCGTGAGATTTCAAACAAGGAAAAAACGAGACATATATAGATCAAAACAATAAAGCATTTATATACAATTAAACATTTACAAACTGGAACAATATGTGTATTAATGCGTGCGTAAATTGTATGTGTTGCTGGAATGTTTGATGTCTCTGTGTCGTTATGTTTGCTATTTTCTTGTTTGTATCAAATATTGGAGTAATAAGATTTAAGAGTTTTTTTTGCAAAAGTTTGTCGAAGTAGTCTACCTTTGAACGTGTTTGTGTCTTATTTCTTATTTTTGTAATGATTATAAATCAATATGTATAAGAAATTTAGTGGAAAGTTTCGAGAGTCGTTCGTTGAATGTTCAAAGTGAGTCAGTGAGTGTTCTTTGAAAAGCGCGGCAAGATTGTTTTTCCAAACGTCGTGGAGTATTTAGGCAATTGCTCGGTGAATTTGCTAGACTGACTGAATGGGGCTGTCTGCTTCCCTTTTTATAACATTTTGGGTTTTCAAAAGTGGCTCAAGTCATTTTGGCGCAATTCCCGTTTCAGAAAACGATCGACCAATGGAATTGCTTGGTTCGATTCTTGCCATTTCTATTGGTTGAGGTTTTTCTGTACGTAGGCGTACGATGTGGACTGTGCCTTTTTAAGGTTAGAGAAGTTAGAATACTAGAAGAGTCCACAATACCTCCCCCCAGATTAATGCCATGGTGAATGAGCATTAATATGTTATGTAGGTTCGATATTTGGTCGGCCAGTGAACATGTCTGCCTGACTTTGTGCGGGTAGACTGTGTTGGTTTAGTCGTATCAGTAGTTGTTTGCGTATCTGTTTGTTCCGTTGTTGTCGTCTTTGTTGTCGTTTGATCTGTGTCGTCGCACTGTAAATATGCTGGTTTAAGTCGGTCGATGCTGACGGTGTTTTGTTTACCAGCGATGTCGATCGTAAAATATTTGGGTGTTCTAGATATTACTAGATGTGGGCCTGTGTAGTTTGGCGTTAATGGTTTTCGTACTGTATCGCGCCGCAGGAAAACATATTCTGACGAATGTAAATCTGTCGGCACGTAGAAAGGTTTTCTACAAACTCGTGTAGGCGTATATATAACGTCCATCATTTTCTTTTGAGGTCGGCCACGAAGTAATTTGTCAGGGTAGATCTCGTCTCGTTATAAAAAAATCTGTCCTGGCAGTGTTGTTGCTTTTCCAAAGACTAGTTCTGCGCTAGTACATTTAAGATCCAGTTTTATCGTATTTCGCAGCGCAAGCATCACAAATGGTAGCTTATCTACCCACGTACGAGCACTGGTAGACGCTGTTAATGCGTACTTGAGCTGTCGGTGAAATCTCTCTACTAAGCCGTTGCTGCATGGATGATATGCCGTAGTGGAGATGTGTTTTATACCCAGGATGTTGACAAATTCGTTGAACAGAGTCGACTGGAATTGGGGACCTCTATCGGTTGTGATAACTGCAGGGCATCCGAAAATAGAAATCCAGTTATGAAAAATCGCGTTCGCCACCGCTTCTGCTGTTATCGACGTTAGCGGTACAGCTACTGGCCATCGCGTGAAGCGATCTATAATTGTTAGGATATATTCATGTCCATTTATCTTCTCGAGTGGACCCACCAAATCTGCGTGTATGTGAGTAAATCGTCCATCAGGTGTCGCAAAACTTGATGATGGCGCTTTGGTGTGTCGATGTATTTTTGTTGCCTGGCAACGTTGGCACATGCGAGACCACTGTTTCACGTCTGAAGCCATACCGGGCCAGACGTATCTGTCAGATATGATCCGCAGCGTAGCCTTCGCTCCAGGGTGAGCTGGCGAATGGAAGTGATTGAAAATCGATCTTCTCCTTGAAATAGGTAAGTATGGTCGAGGATTACCTGTAAAACGTCACAATACACTAGTTTGTTAGTGAAAGGTAAAGGTCTTTTTCGATCTTAAGTGAAGTATCTTCCTGTACTGACGGTAGTTCATTATCGTTCGCTTGTTCCTCGGCGAGAGTGTCAAAATTCAGTGTCTGTGACTGTAATGTGTTAAGTGTGGTTCTTGATAATGCATCCGCTACAGTGTTATGCTGACCTTTTATATACCGAATATCTGACGTATATTGGCCGATGTAGTCTAAGTATCGGAGGTCACGCGGATTTAATTTGTCAGCCTTCGCGTTTAATGCGTATGTAAGTGGTTTATGGTCGGTGAGGATTACGAAATCTCTTCCTTCTAAAATGTGTCGGTAGTGACGTATTGCCAAATATACTGCAGTAGTTCTCTCGAGAAAGTGCTATATTTTTCTCTGTGTAGTATTCAACTTTAGCGAGAAAAAAAGATAGGGTTTCTCTATACCGTTGGTAATCTGGTGTAGTACTGCGCCAATCGTGTCAGCCGATGCATCCGTTGTGAGGGTCAGATTGGAGTCTCAGATGAATTAATATACGTCAGTTTTGTACATCTTTGTAATGCCTCTTTCGCATCTTCAAAAGATTTTAATTCGTCTTTCGATAATACAATTTGCGAGTTCTTTTCTTTCGTTGCGATAACATGTCTGTCAGTGGTAATAATATCGACGCACAGTTTGGTATGAATTGTCGATAGTAATTTATCATCCCCAAGAATCTCCCTTAATTGCTTCAACATAGAAGGTGGGGGATAATTCGTGATTGCTGTAATCTTTTTGATCTAAGGGAGACAATCCTTGCTGGTCTATGACGTGTCCGAGAAAAGTTAATTGTGGTACAGCGAATATACACTTGTCGATGTTTAATTTCAATCCGTAATGTTGTGTTGTTTTAGAACTGCATGTAAATGTTCCTGATGTTCAGCATGGGATTTGCTTGCAATTAGCACATCGTCGATATATGCGTACGTATAGGGCATACCTCGTAACACCTCGTCGATCAACCTTTGGAATGATTGTGCCGCGTTGCGCAACCCAAAGGGCATTCTCGTGAACTCGAATAGTCCGAAAGGGGTAGTAATGGCAGTCTTTTGAATGTAATCCTCTTCGATTGGGATTTGGTAATAAGCTTTAAGGTCGAGCTTAGTAAAGACTGTTGCACCTTCTAGCGATAATGCGAAATCTTTTATGTGCGGTATTGGATATTTGTCCGGAACGGTTTGGGCATTCAATAGCCTATAATCTCCGCACGGACGCCAACTGATTGCGTCTGCTTTCGTAACCATGTGTAGAGGGCTGGCATAAGGGCTTTTTGAAGGGCGAATTACGCCTAGTTTAAGCATATTATCGAATTCATCTCGTGCGATCTTTAGTTTAGTAGGATGAAGCCTACGTGGTTGGGAATGAACTGGGGAACCAGTCGTTTTAATACTGTGTTTAGCATGGTGTTTAACGGGTTCGTTTCGTGATGACGGTGTTAACAGTGATTGGTACTGACGTATTATCTCATCGTAGCCATTAGCTGTTGGTATAATATTCGTCAGACCGATTGTCGAGTATTTTGAGATGAAACCGCAGCGTTTGACATTCGTACTCGTGTCAGTTAGTGTCTGAGATGCGAGTTCTACTGATAATGCATAATGTGTCAGGAAGTCCGCTCCTAATATGGGCATCGAGACATCCGCGATTATAAATGTCCACGTGAGCTCTCTCCTTAGACCTATGTCTAATGTTAGGGTTCTTTCACCGTATGTTGCAATGGGTGTGCCATTTGCCGCTTCAATGCTGTGTTTTTCGTTAGAAGTTGTCTACTGCAATTCTTCTGAGGTAAGACGCTGATTTGGGCACCGGTGTCAACCAAAAATTCAATCCACTGGATTTATCATAAATGTAAAAGAGACGGTTAGTCTTGAATTGTCTGGCATCCAACGTCTCTACTGAATGCCAGGATGTCCGTTCCCTCCTGTTTGACGGTTGGTGATTTCTTGTATGAACAGGGTTGTCTACACTTATTAGCGTGCGCGCCAAATTTTTCGTGATACCAACATTTTTCATTTTGGTAGTCGTTTCGTCGTCGTTGGTATTTGTGCCGAGAATTTGATCTCCAATTTTGTTTATTACGCTTGGTATAATAATTATCGCGTCGGCTTACATGAGAATTCTGTAGCTCACGTAGTTGTATGGATATTTCTTGCAAGTCTGTAGATAGTTTTTTGTATTTGTCGATCGATGTCTGGCATGAGGCCATCCCCTGTGTTAGTTGCGGAAATATGCTTAATTGGTGCCGTGTCGGTTATTTTATCCGCAATTGTCGCAAGCTTCTGTATATCCATATCATCCGCCAATGCAGCTAAAATTCGTACTACATCTGGTGGTAGTTTGTCCAGCCACATTTGTCGGAATACCGTGGTTGATATATCATTATCGCCCAATAATTGTTGCATCCTTCGTAGTAACTGTGATGGTTTGGTATATCTTCAGCCGTGACATTAGATAGAAGATCACGTATTCTTTTCTCCTCCGAAAACCAGATCTATGCAATATCGCTTGCTTAAGGATTTCGTATGGTTTTTCAACCGGGAAGGAAGTTAATATATCTGCTACTTCAACTGCTACCTCTGCTGGTAGTTTTTCCACTACTGCTGCGAATTTTGATTGCTGAGAATTTATGCGCCTGGCTTGAAATATTGCATCAAGTTGAAGGAACCACGTTTGCACATTTGCGTTGAAGGCGGGCATCTCTAGCCTGATGGCTGTTTCTGATATGGGGGTTGGATCAGCCATCTGTAGTGTTGAAATTCTTTATCCGTTTCGTTGTTGAATGTGAATTTTTTATGTGTCGTAGTCACCAAAATTTTTTGTTGGCGATGAGTTTTATTTTGGCGTGAACGTCGGGTATCACTATTTTAGTTGGCACGTCGAATGGTTATTTTTTTTTTTTTTTGAGTGGGTTCAATTCACGTTCTGGATCCGTTTTAATTCGCACGTCGGGTTCACTATGTTTGTTGTGTGTGTTCGCACGTCGAGTTCACCATTTTTAGTTCGCACGTCGGGTTCATCATTTTCGTTGTGGTGTGTTCAATTCACGTTCTGGGTCACCATTTTTGTTGGGACTTTTTTTTCTTGGGTCATTTTTGATTTATCAGAAGGATTTTGGTTTTGATTTATTATCGGTTGCGTGTCTAACCGTGTCCCAAACAAATATACAAACAAGCGTGAGATTTCAAACAAGGAAAAAAACAGACATATATAGATCAAAACAATAAAGCATTTATATACAATTAAACATTTACAAACTGGAACAATATGTGTATTAATGCGTGCGTAAATTGTATGTGTTTGCTGGAATGTTTGATGTCTCTGTGTCGTTATGTTTGCTATTTTCTTGTTTGTATCAAATATTGAGTAATAAGATTTAAGAGTTTTTTTGCAAAAGTTTGTCGAAGTAGTCTACCTTTGAACGTGTTTGTGTTTGTATCGTATTTCTTATTTTTGTAATGATTATAAATCAATATGTATAAGAAATTTAGTGGAAAGTTTCGAGAGTCGTTCGTTGAATGTTCAAAGTGAGTCAGTGAGTGTTCTTTGAAAAGCGCGGCAAGATTGTTTTTCCAAACGTCGTGGAGTATGTCTGCTTCCCTTTTTATAACATTTTGGGTTTTCAAAAGTGGCTCAAGTCATTTTGGCGCAATTCCCGTTTCAGAAAACGATCGACCAATGGAATTGCTTGGTTCGATTCTTGCCATTTCTATTGGTTGAGGTTTTTCTGTACGTAGGCGTACGATGTGGACTGTGCCTTTTTAAGGTTAGAGAAGGTTAGAATACTAGAAGAGTCCACACGCTCACATTCAAATCACAAAAAAAAATCGAAAAATGTTCATATTCAAAGAATGAGATAAAAAAACATTCTACAAAAAAATGCAAAAAATTCTAGAATGTCTTTTATGTTTTTGCAGTATTCTCACAATAATTATAAGCATTTTCACTTACAAAGGAACATTTTTTTGTTTAAACAATTTCCTTACTTTTTAAATTGAATGGATTTTTTTTTTGTTACGATTTATTGCTGTCTAGATACAAATTTATGATTTAATAATCATTTTCCTAATTTATTATTATTTTCTTAGTCTAAAAAATCTAATGATTATAAAATTCATTATTAAAAATTTATGGATGATTAAATATGAAAGGGGAGGAGATGAACCCAATTTTAACAAACTAAACATAAAAAAAATGCAACGTAAATTAAACATAACTGATGTTAGTAGGGCCTTTTTTTCCAAACCTCAAAATGAGAGGCAATAAAGATAAATTTTTTTTATCAGCCCATTGGACAAAAACATCAAGATTTTATCCAACTCTCTCGAATAAGGGAGGGGAAAATATAACGGTTCAGGCATGGGAAATATAAAATGTTTACGACCCAAACGAGATGAAAAGGAGACCAAAACAAACTGGGGAGGTTGGGAATCTCAACTTGATCATAACCAAAGATGCAAATATATTTTAACAGCCCAAGAACAGCACTTACTCACATTAACTAGGTCTAACCTAACTAAGGGGAGGGCTCCACAAGAAAACCACCTCGATGTAGATTGACCTAAAAAACAGAAAAAATCAAGGCTAGTCCCATTCAAACGAACCAACGCTCGCCATTCGTTTCAACCCAGAATACAGGGGCGACACATTGTCACACGCGTATGCGCGATCAATAGCAAAGCTGTTCGGGGAGCGAACGAGCCGTCAAAATCGCCGACATGGTCCCAAAAATTGCAGACCTGAGAACAATGGTAGAAGGCGTGTGAAGCCGTTTCTTCCAAACCAAGGTCAATGGTTCACAGTCTGGCAGATCCGCCATTAGCCCCATATGAAGGCCTTGTCATTGAGAGGCAGCCTATTCCGAGCCAATCGCCAGGTAAGTGAAAACTCAGGTTTACTGAGATAATCCGCTGCTGACGCCCAAGACCAGAAAAAGAGAAACTCCTCCTCCGACAAGTCAAGCCGCTCACGTAGAGGATCCTTCGCGAACTCCTCCACTAAATAACGATAGAAGACCTTCCTAGGCCGTGAAAGGTCACTGGACCGAGGAATGATCGTCAAGGCGTACCGACACTCGCGAAGGAAATCCAATTGATCCCAGGGTTTACGACGGCGCTCAGCCCGCGAAATGGGGGACTTATAGTGCGAAAATTAACGCGTCCTCATATTAATCCCCGCCATAATCGAATCTCTTGTCAATGCGCGGCGAGGCAAGTTTGTGGCTCGCCAAGTGCAGCATTCCCAACCCCATGACACGGACGTTATGCACAGACTTCTCTGTTGGCCAGATGCTTGCGTCCCCTTCTTAAAATGGAGAATAGCGAGCACTCGAGTGGCTTCTAGATTATCTTTACAGAATGAAGTCTGGACAATCGATAAAAATCAATCGGGAAAAATTGTAATTTAAAAAAAAATCCCTTTACGGACAACCTCCGTCGACGCCAAATCCGACCAGTCGCGTCTGTGACGGTTACACACCTGGCCCAGGGTCGGATCCTTTGGTTACGGCGCCAACGGTGACGTCGCTCCTCCTGGTCGCTCCTCCTGGATCCAAGCGTGCCGCTCCAACCCCTTGGTCAGATGATCACCAGCCTCGCCTTTCCCGACTCGCTTCCAATACCTGGTCACTAAAGCAACTGTACCGATCTCCGGTCTGTCTACCCACGCTGTGTTTAGATCTTAGACAGACGGGACCAGCAGGGATTGGGGCCGATACAAGTTGAGTCCGACAGGGGTGGCAAAACACAAATAAAAGAGAAAATAAACTCACGAGACAAAAAAGATTGCTGATGAAAAAAAAAAAAAAAAATGGGTAACAACCTTTTATATCTTAATGTCCGTTACATAAAAACAAAATTGTTCTCATTTCCCAACCCGCTCTGTGGACTATGGCACAAGCTTCTATCACACAACCCTAAAGATTTCGAATTGCCTACTCTTTAGAATTGTGTATGTCGGAGTGTGGTTTGGTTCGACACTGGGGCTAATTTCTATCGATCATTCGCAGTTGATTCTTCTCTTCGACTTGAGTTGTATTTCTTCTTCTTCGTCGACTTAGGCTGGAAGTTCTCTTGTCTTCGACTTGGGCTGGGCTGGAAGTTCTCTTGTCTTCGACTTGGGCTGGAAGGATTTCTTGCCGCAACTCAGCCGCAACTCTCTGTCGTCCGAGGTGGTCTCTTCTCGCTGCCGTCCGGGGCTGAACTCTTCTGTCTTCGACTTGGGCTGGAAGGATTTCTTGTCTGAGGATTCTTTTGCCCGCAAAGGGGGCGAGTCTGAATCGGGCCCGATGCCCGCGTTCAGGCTCTATCCCTGCCCGCGGTCCAGCTGCAACTCCACTCCAACTGATTTCTGTCGACTGGGGTCCTGCTTTTATTGACGCCGCAACAAACTGGGGTCAAACTGGGTCTGTCGGCGTCAGGGGTTTTCTCGATAATTCCAAAAGTCGCATTATTTTTGATTTCTCATTATCGCTATTGTTTTCACCCCTACTTCCTCACAGTGCCTTTTGTGGGGAGGTGCACACCATCTCTCTTAGTCTCTCGTATGTCAGGTGACCGTTTTTCGACCAATGGTTCCTGATCGGGCATTTCTTTCTCTTCTTTTCTGCAGATCACGTGACCGTTTCCGACCAATT